AGTCCTCGCAGTAGTCGTACACGTGAATCGATCAGCCAGGCTATTCATAAAACACTTCCCATGATAAACAGAAGAAAACTTATTCGCTAATCGTATATAACTCGCTGGCTAGTATTATTCGTGTTCGGAGAATGCTGAGCGGATGCCGTTATGCGTGTTAGAGAACTTGCGACTATTTATTGCGACGAAAAACTCACTGTCTTCTCCTTGACAGGGCATTCCAGGTGCGGGCGGGACGTTAGGAAAAACTGGAACAGAAACGGACGATTTTCTTAAATCGAGGATCGCTTTTTTGGCGTGTTAATGTGCTGTCGAACGATGGAATTCGTTCGAGCAAAACTGAAAAATAGATTGTTTCTTGAGAAATGTCGACGAACAGTCTTTTGCGATTCGTCGTTCACACACAAGACCGATACCTGGATCATAATTGTAAAGCTGTAGATTTTATATGTTCATACTATTTTTATAAACGAAACACACGATACTGTTGTGAAAATCTATGCTATAATAAAAATAAACACTGTTATCTTATTTCAATTTAGTATGATGTTTAATTGTTGAAGTGAATCTTTTTTTAATCTTGATTTTTTTCATGCAATCTATAAAAAAATGGAGATTCGTACAACGAACCGCAGTAATTAGTAATTAGTACTTACACACACAGATCATAGTCATGTTTTCAGTGTTTTAAGTTATACACGCGAACTCATTGCAATTTCGCAATTAAATTGTAATTATTTTGTAATTTGCGCATATGCACACAGTATACATAAATATTCTTGTATAAAATACCAATAAATATGCAAATATTCGTGTGTTATAAAATATAATATTATATTCTATTATAGGATCAAATCCTATAATAAATTGTTTCTTCTATATTTTATTGGTTCAAGTAAATTGTACATTTGTATATAATTTGCTAACCCTTTAACAGCGATAGTTCATGAGCGCCTTTTTGGTATATCATCGCTGACAAGAGTAAAAGATGGACGCCTGTATAACTTAGTATTTGTTTCGGTTTTATAGCGATGTAACACGAGAAATATTTAACAAATCGTTTTTATCTTATATTATTTAATTACAATTTTAATTATATTCAATTACTGTGAACAAAAAAAAATGTAACTCGACCACTGCCCGTCGCTAACAGTGCCAGCGGACATCACAGTTGTCTTTTCATTACGCGTTCGTCGTCAAGGGGTTAATGGCATATCTAATTTGATAGCAGTTCACTCGGGTTGATCGAAAACTCGGGTTTCGAGGCACGAAAAGAATATCTTATGAATATTCAATCATGCAAAGCGGGCACCTTGGCGGTAATAATTAGTCCGGGCTCCAATTTTTTCCTCGGCGGTGTTGCTACAACTAATTTTCTCATCCCTTCTCATAGACATTCTCGGAATCGTATACTTCGAACGCTGTTCGAACATCCGCCACCGTGTACCGTGTATATTGCCCGTGTTCACATGTTCCACGTGATCAAACTTCATAATTCGAAACGCAATCGAGTCGATCTGCGTACATTGAATATAAATTTCTCGGGGGATGGATGACGAATATTAGAGAAAAAAAATATATATATCGCCGAATACTAACGGAAATCGTGTATCAAGTCTAACGTTATCATAACGTCTTGGTATCCTTGTCAGCACAATATAGACAATGGTCGGCAACTATCGAAGGTGGAACGCCTCTGCACACCGCGAAACGCGTTTAATACTCACGACAGTCCACCGAATTTCTTGCGAATAACGGTTTCGATTGTATTATCGTGTTTCTTTTTTCTCTTTCTCTCTTTTCCTTACATATCTTAGTTAGTTCGCCGCTAGTACATAGGAAAATCTTCTACTGTCACCGTTGTTCACAGCGACATGCTCATTAAACGCCGCCCGATAACGAATAACATTGAATTGAATCGATGCGATCGCGTTATCGCTTATCGGCGAGAAGCGAGAACCATACACGGATAGGTGCAACGTTGTTTTCAACCTACGCCTTTACATTTCACTCGCGGCCGAATAATCGATCGTTCGAAACTATTGGCGGGGCTCGCCACGAAATTAAAGGAACCGTCCTGCTCTGTTCGACGACCGAGTATCTTATCGGCATTGCCGAGTTTTTGGTATAATCAATTCGTCGGAGCTTAGAAAATACTTTGTCCGACTGAACGAGGCAACGTGTCGTTCGATTGATTATCCGAGTGATTCTTCGGTTCGTAGACTTTCTTTCCGTTTGTAGTTTTTCATTCCTTTCAACAAATTTGAAAAGAAACTATTCAGACAGAAATACCTGTAGGCTCAAATCCCAGTACGATTAAGGGGAAAGAAGCGTACACGTTTATAAACGATCCGCATGTAACACCTCGCAAAACGATTTCACCGCGGCGAGCATCACTGCAGATATTGTTTGTAGAGAATGAATACAACAGTGGAGCGTTAATTATGCCCATTATCCAGTGAACGCAATGATCAAACGGGGTCAAACAAAAACTCTTATTTCGTGGTGCGGTGGCAGCTTATTGTGCCACTTCGCGCGGCTCTCCTTTTTCACCTCTTATGCCGTTGTTCGTTAATTTTGTCCATAGAAAACCCATCTCGCGGTCATGTCACTAAATCTGTATCACCGTAACAATTTCGACTATATTCACGGAATCGTAACCAACTAATTTCTATCGCGTTTCTCGTTATAATAGTAAAAAAAGTCATGGAAAGCATGGGGAAAGAAAAACACAAACTTTCGGATACAAAAGCGTGTCAACGTTTGGAATCGGTTCAGTTCGAAACGGAACGATACTCGTGAACAGCACGAATCGCTCTGAAACCATAAAATATGGGGCAGCCAGAGATGATTAGATAAGCGCACATGTTAGCACACCATCTCGAAAACACACACTATTCTTCGCGATCAATATTTTGCAATTCCATCCAAGCCGTCGGCTTTAGATCGAGATTACGTTTATTCGGCTAGGTAAACCGTGCCAGTTTACAGCCGACGACAAGCGACGTACAGCGTACCGAGATATTAACGGAAACAAATGCCGCGAACGGAAGGGAACGCAGGGCGGTCGATGCACCGCGCGCTTCGTTACGAATCAATCGACCAGGTTAATGAAGCACAGGGGAAAGGGTACCGAGAACCTACCCCAGGTGATGTCGTTGAACCAAAATTGCGAGGATCCGGTGGTATCGTCGATCAGCGAAGATGCGGGATCCGGTGGTTGACTACATGGCCCGTGTACACGACACGTATTAGTCCCTATGGCTCGATTGCTGGTCGCGTACATCATCTCCGTGGCGATCACGTCATCGAGATCTACCTCCGAGGTGTCGTCGACACCTTTCTCGCAGAGCAGCTTCATCCTGGAGCTGGATGAGCCGGGTTGCACGAATATATCGTCACGGGGACTGTTATTGGGCGAGCACTCGCTCCGGATTCCCACGATCGGTTGCTCATATTCGGCGGAATCACTGCTGGGCGAGGGTGGATACGTGCTGGTGCTTGACTTAATCGGCCGTTCACGCGGTAGAACTTGAATCCCGGTGGATGAGGTGGATGGGCCCTCGACGGCGGCCGGAATTTTTCGACTAGCGGCAGCTGCTGTCGCAGCAGCCAGTGCCGCGGAATAAGAATAGAAGGAACCACCCTGTATCATCATACTGCAGGGTGGTTCCTCCACTGCGGCACCAGCACCGCCGGGCCCGGAAGAGGTACCGACACCGAGCTCGCCCTGTACTTGCTGTACACCGTACAACCCCGTAATCCCCGTCTCGCCCTGATGAAACTGTTGCTGTTGCTGTTGTTGCTGATGCAACCCCTGAGATTGTTGTTTATCCTTCTCACGGCGGGGTGACCGACCTCTATCGCTGACTGACGTTGCGCTCCAATAACCCCACGCCATTTCGTCGACGAATTTACCCCGTTATTTATCTCTCCGCAAACTTCCTCTATCCCGGTTGTCTGATATCGTCCGCCAACAACCGTACACCACTGGCCCCCGTCTTTTGCTCAGTATCACCCTCTAACTCCCACCCCCAAACGGTTTTCCCTACTTTCCTTCCCAGCAGTACGTGCGCACGCTCTCTCGGTCCCTCTCTTTCTGGTCCGTTGTCTTTCCCTTCCTCTCCTTCTTTCGCCCCGTACTCCTCTGTCCTCGTCTCCTCTACCGTACGGCCGACCTCTTGCAGGAGCCCGGCTGAGAATGCGACGAGTCAGCGCGATCGATGCTGGTTTATCGCCACTTTTGCAACCTCTCCAGTGACAACAGCGATTGTTAAAGATACACCGTCACAACCTCTTGACACGAGTTCCCGAGGACTCGCTGGAAACGATCCCTAGGCCTGACCGCTCGCTCGCGCGCGCGTGAGGGTGCTCTTCAAGCTAACTCCGTTACCTGACCGCGGGCCGGACACCTCGGAGAATGATCAACCGCCTTCGACCCTTCCACGATCCCACCCTTTTTCCTTTCCCCGAAGAGCCGAGATCTCCGGCTGGGACCCGAACGACCGCGCGCGCGTTCTCGCCTCCCTTAACTGCCTCTCCGGCGGATTTCCACGAGGAAACGCGCCAGGTAATCTGTCCGCGTAAGAATATCGACTACCACCGCGGTATTCATTGACTGCTGCCGCCACCGCCCGACCAATTTTACTCAACGAAATGCGCAAACGCTGGGATAAAGTCACGCCGAAAACAGAACTGTTTTCGCTTTAACGAACCGACTAACTCGTTTTCCTTTCCGTTTCCCCGTTTCGCTACTTCCTGTCTTTTTCTCTACTTACATACATCCCCACCCCACGTACCGCTTCCGCCTCCGCTCCTCCCACACCCCGTGGCTCACCCCTGTTCGCTCCAATTCTTCTTCTTCGATATTTTCATCCGTTATCCCCTTTCTGTGTTAACGTTCCTTCTTTCCCCTACCCTACTTCAACCCTTCCTCTCGTAATCTCTCACACCCCCTTCACGTACATTCTGCTTAACTACGTTCTTGTGCCTTCCGACCCTCGGCTCTTTTCCTTCTTGGTTTTAAGAGTCTCTTTTATTATTTTCTACTCGCGTGTTTGCCTTCTTTTCTGATGGAGTTTGTTAAACTCCATGTAATCGCTGTCCTCGAATGCTGTCACGCGCAAATGGGACGACTAGTTAGAGGACGCGTTTAATTTTTAATAGTTATCGACGACTGTGCATCGTGAATCGGATGCAGTTGCTCGAGTTGCAATTACTTAATTACTGGATAGTTTATGTCGCGATAAGCCATGTTAGGATGATTGATGAAATGATCTTTATACATTATATCTGAATTATTTAATGCTCTTGTTTAACTTGATTTATTGTTAAAGGGTAAAATGAAAGGATTGTAATTAGTAACATTATGTAACTATTACAAATGAAATGAGTAATAATATATTGAATATTAAAGGGTCTCGAACACGTAAATAAAGTGGATATGTGTTGAAGTAAGGATAATAGAACAAACAAATTGATTGCATATTAAATGACACTTAATTAATTGTATTTAAATACGATTATCTTACTTTCAATAATTATTCATACTTTTATAATAGTAATAATTAAATTGTGAATTAAAATAACAAACTTGTCCAAGATTGTAATATGTTCAGAATAAAGTAAAAGCTTTATTAAATAGTAAGGATTGAATAAATATTACCACGAAATAGCTAACGAATACAAATAATGTACATGGAATACAAATAAACTGTTAGGAAATATTACTACTTACCATGTATAGTTATCTCAGTGTCCTTCTCCAGTTCATAAAGACGCATTGCTTCATCTAGTTCTTGTTGAGAAGCAATTCTGCATGGATCCCCCTCCTCGTCAACCCACTTCATTGTAAATTGATCTTGACCTGCTGCACCAAATCCACATATTGTACGCATTTCCTCTCGCAATGTATCTACCGAAATTCCAGGAGTAATGTATGTAATCTGCACTTCCCTAGTGCAAAATAAACAATTATGATTTCTTTTATTAATTAAAAATTGTTCTTATCTTATAAGTAAACAAACAAATTGAAAATTATAAAGAATATATCTACATTATATGTTATGTAGGTACATTTTAATATTTCTTTGAAGGAATCTTGTACACATCAAAAAATGATAAATTACATTAAAGTCCAAATAATATATTAATAGTATAAATTTGGTTTACATTGTTAAGTTAAATAAATTCCAACTTATGAAAAATCATAGATCATTATATATTGAAAATGATATATTTATGCAGGTAATATATGAAGATCAATATTTTGTTTCTTAACTTTATTATTTCTGTTCCTTTCATTATTATTTCCATAAAAATACATATTATTACAAAGAAATTGTATATTACCCATTATAAACAATTTTCACTCGAATATCGTCATTCTCTGTCGTTTGTGTAGGCATTTTTAAAATGTGTATTGACCTCTTCTTTCTAAAATATAAGAATAATTTAAAATTATTATAAAATTATATTTTTATTTATGAAATTATAATATTTATATTATACAAAAAAGTATTAGTAAAAGATCACAGAACTTTTACAATTAGAATTTTTTATTTTAATAAAGAACATGATACAAGAGTACAGTTTATAATAAGCTAATAGAATTTTGAAGTTTTGTTAAATAAAACGTAATTAATAACGAAGTTGTTATGATTAACATAAATTTAGATTTCTTTATTTAAGAAAAAAATTCTGTAATACCTGTTACACTGTATCGACAATAAATTAAACAAGTTGACACTCTTTAATTCAGTAATTTGTCAAAACTAAAAGAATTATAAATAATCATTAAACTTGAAACTACCTTAGTTTATAACTATCTCAATTTTGTTACATGTATGTGATTTCTGACTCACCACGATTTTTTGTCAAAAGTGATCTAACTGTTAAGCTAGATAAAATACTCTTGGCATATGTCTTTAGTAGAATAACTTATCGTCGTTTTAAAACTATTAATTCGAAATAGGTATATAATAAACAAAATTGAAAAGTACTTAACACAGCAAAACGCGTTGTCACTTGGCAGTCGCCATGTTTATTAGGCACATATCTTCATTAGATATTTGACATAGTATGACGCATACGTATTATTTCCGAATGAAATACTGAAGAAATTAAACTAAATTACTGTTATACTAACTAATTCATACAACTAAAATATAAAAAATAAACATTGAATTAAATAAGTATCGAAATCATTATTTCTTATATGTTATCCACAATAACATGATTGTCCCTATGTAGTTTCGGATACAATATTAATGCGGATTTAAATTTAAGTTAATTGTAATGAAAGTCTGTCTATTCAGAATTATTTTTGCAAAGTATATTTGATCACTGTAATAAAAGTTTACTTAAATAAATTGAAATTTGGAAATTTACCTTCTACTTGTACCTCATTGTAATTTGTACTCCACACTCTTGTTTAATTAAATATAAATTAAAATGTACAATTTTATAAGTTAATAATATCCACCATCAATAAATGATGTGTACTACATAATTATTAAGTATAACAGTGTATATTAACACTGTTCTTAGTTACGTTCATGAATTCTTATCGTCTTGAACGTGCTTCTATACGACGTACAACTATAAATGTCACTTCTGTTTTATGTAGTTAAACAGTTTATACGATATTTGTAATTCATTGGATTCAATACCTAATAATAAGTAGTGAAATTTCAAACTTTAAACATTAATTTTTACAGCTAAGTCTTTAGTATCCAAGATAACCAGTTATGATTAACAATTTAAGGTTATTTTATATTGGAAATTAAGCAAACATTTTCGTTGGATATTAACATATTCAACAAATAAGGTAAGCAATATTATTTCACTTCTTGTTACGTAAAATTAATATTTATTAATAAAAATTCAAGTTCGCATAACATTTTTAAGCAAAGTAGAGGTTAGAAAATACGTATTAATAGAAACACAGTATTTTTATTGTAGTTAATTCTTAACACAAATTTGAAATTTCTGTTTTTCAATTTTAGTACAAAATGAAAAGATCACATTCTAAAAGTGATAGGGATGATTACGATCGAAGGCATCGTTCACGAGATCGTCATTACCACAATGATAGAAACAGTAGGAGATACGATGATCACAAAAGAAAATATGATTATGAAGAATCATACACAGAGGAACGATCACATAGACGACGTGATGTAAAAGGATCAAGAGATCATGAAAAAGAAAATAAAAGGAAAGAAGAAAAAGATAAAGGATCAGATAAAAACATGGAGAAAAGACAAGGAAAGAGTGCTTCTTCTGAGGTAACCGAGAGACAAAACCGCACAGTTGATTTATTAACATCAAGAACTGGCGGTGCATATATTCCACCTGCAAAATTACGCATGATGCAAGCAGAAATCACGGATAAATCAGGTGCTGCATACCAACGCATCGCATGGGAAGCCTTAAAGAAATCCATTCATGGTCATATTAATAAAGTTAATGTTAGTAATATAGGACTTATAACTCGAGAACTTTTAAAAGAAAACATTGTTAGAGGTAGAGGTTTGCTCGCTCGATCTATAATTCAAGCACAAGCAGCGTCCCCAACCTTTACTGCTGTTTATGCTGCTCTTACTGCAATCATTAATTCTAAATTTCCTAATATTGGAGAATTAATTTTAAAACGTCTTGTAATACAGTTTAAACGTGGTTTTCGAAGAAATGATAAACCTCTTTGTATTTCTGCTGGAACATTTATAGCACATTTAGTAAATCAAAGAGTAGCTCATGAAATATTAGCTTTAGAAATATTGACATTATTAGTAGAAACACCGACAGATGATTCCATTGAAGTAGCCATTGCATTTTTAAAAGAATGTGGTATGAAATTGACTGAAGTTTCTAGAAAGGGTATTGAAGCTATATTTGAAATGTTAAGAAACATATTACATGAAGGTCAATTAGATAAAAGAGTTCAGTACATGATTGAAGTTATGTTTCAAGTTCGAAAAGATGGATTTAAAGATCATGAAGCAGTTCCAGATGAACTTGATCTTGTTGAAGAGGAAAATCAGTTTACTCATCTAGTAACATTAGATGAAGCAACTGATTCTCAGGACATATTAAATGTTTTCAAATTTGATGCAGAATATGTCAATAATGAAGATAAATATAAACAATTAAGTAAAGAAATATTAGGTTCAGATGTTAGTGGATCAGAAAGTGAAGAAGATGACGAAGAAGAAAGTTCAGATGAAGATAGCAGCACTGCTGTAATGGAAGGAAAAGAAGATGTAATTGTAGATAATACTGAAACAAATTTAACAGCTCTTAGAAGAACAATATATTTAACCATTCATTCGTCGCTTGACTTCGAAGAATGTGCACATAAGTTAATGAAGATGCAATTAAAACCTGGACAGGAAACAGAACTTTGTCATATGTTCCTAGATTGCTGTGCAGAAATGAGAACATACGAGAAATTTTTTGGACTATTAGCAGGTCGATTTTGTGCTATTAATAAGATGTATGTTACACCATTTGAACAAATTTTTCGGGATTCGTATCATACAATACACCGTTTAGATACAAATAAATTACGTAATGTATCGAAATTTTTTGCTCATTTATTGTTCACTGACTCTATTTCATGGGAGGTATTATCTTGTATAAAATTGACAGAAGATGACACAACAAGTTCTAACAGAATATTTATCAAAATTTTATTTCAAGAACTTTCAGAATATATGGGACTATCTAAACTTAATCAACGAGTTAAAGATGTCACATTACAGGAAGCATTCGAAGGACTATTCCCCAGAGATGATCCAAAAAATACACGATTTGCTATAAATTTCTTTACATCAATTGGTTTGGGAGGACTTACAGATGATTTGAGGGAACATTTAAAAGCACATCCAAAGCCAGCAGTAGTGCCTGTAATAGAACAAAAACCTGAAAGTGCATCCAATGAATCCTCTCCTTCCAGTTCAAGTACATCGTCTTCATCGTCGTCTTCATCTTCTTCATCCAGTAGTTCAAGTTCAGATGATTCTGATTTTTCCTCAGAAGAAGAAGTGATTAAAAGAAAGAAAAGAACGAAGAAAGACAAAAGGAAAAAACAGACTGCAAGAGAAATGAAGAAGAAACATAAGAAAAAAGATAAGAAAAAAATAAAAAAGCCTAAGTAAAATATGCGTACAACAATTTTGTTTTTCATTCTTTATTGATATTATTCTTTTTTGAATAATACATTTCAAAAACATGTATACCAGCATATTGTAAATTAAAACATTTGTACACTTTGTGATACAAATGTATACACATTATTTATAGGAACTTAAAATTCTTAGAATATTGCTAATTTTTAATAAATATATTTTCATCAGTAACAATTGTCTATGTGTTTGATTATTATTCCATATATTTAATCCGCATTACCAAAACGAACCATATTAAAAAGCGAAAGTAAAAAAATGGGAAAAATTATTTAACAGCTTGCTTTGCTTTCAGTTATCATTTTTGATAAGGCATATCAAAATAACCGTGATATCGTAATTACGTGTAAATTTATGAATTAATACCTGAGTAAGTCTGTAAGATGTTAAGATATCTTCAGACAAGACGATTAAAATAACACTTTTCAGATAATGCTAAAAAAAAGGAAAAGAAAAAACTTCACTTTCTTCAGAGAAAATTCAAATAAATGTCACCGTCTCAACAACAGCCCGACATGTATGATGCGAATCCCTTGCCCTGGCAATGAACGTGGAATAGGTGCGCTTCTGTCAATGTGGGTGTAGAGAATGTAGGCTGTTTTGACGGGGAGATCACGTGATTAAGTACAGTATTTCCTTCGTTATAAACTTGCGGTTCGTTACCGGTGACGAGCTTATAAAGAGGTAGCCGCCAGTGGCGGTTCGTTTTTGTTTTCCAACGCACAAGAGCGAGAGAAAACGAAAGCACAAGAGAAACGGTCTGAGGCTGCCTATAGGCCCAAGCTGAACTGGTAGGGACGGCAACGAGCTTACAGCGTGAAGGACAAATCGAACTTATAGTGAGAAAATATTGTATTCATGTCAGCCGTTGCCACCACCACCACCACCAGCAGTGCTGTCGTCGCTGACCGGACCGACACTATGCCATGATCCGTAGATACGCAGACTCAACCATTCCTACATCTTTCGGAAGCGAGCGTGGTTACGCGAGATCTGTAACGTGCATGTACACGTACGCACGAGTGTGTGCGTGTCGCCACACTGGTTTAATAGATACGAGAATACGATAGAGACAAAAGCTGCTAAAGTAGTAGACAGAGAAGCACGGTAGGAGGCCAGGCGTAATGTTGGCTCAGTGGACGTTACGGTGTTAAAAACGGGTATAGTGAACTTCGATCGACGACGTGATACCCGTGAAAGAAATCGAAGACGCGTAAAACTCGCGGCAGTTCTCTGCCAACCGAGCCAGAGACATGAACGGGAAAGGCGGTTCCATGTGTACACACGCGTACAGAAAATCGCCTGCAATTAAGAATGTGATGCTCCGCGCGTTTCCAAAAGTATACAATGATACGCGGCCCCTTTAAGGACCTTGTGTTATCTCATTGTGTTTACATACCCGTACTATCATAAGTGTACGTGTGCGTGCGCGCGTGTGTATGTGTGCGTGCGAAAAAAAGCAAGGTGGAGTATTTGTACCAGAAAAAAGACACTGGAGGAGGGTGAGAGGAAGGGGGCGGGAGGGAGGGAGGGAAAGAGAATACATGCATGCAATCGACAAAACGTCTCTTTGCCATAAGAACGCATTAGTGTTTTGGTTGTGTGTTAATATCACGTATTAACGTTGGATGATCGAGCCGTGGATAATTCGCTCGGGTCGGCGTTGCCTTTGGCTGACAGCGGTGCGGCACGATCAAAAATATGCGTATCTTTCCGAGCGGTTCTTCCTTTCCGAGTTCGTCGTGCGCGATCGATACGTCAGTTCGTCGCGATGTGTTAAGTCAATCCATTGTCTGACAATGCCATTCATAATGTTCGTTGGTCGAACATGTCATCGGTTTCATGATTACTTTAATAAATAGTATAATTAGTTATTTATTTGTCTCGTCATCGTCGCGGTGAATGACGATAGTGTCGGTGGTGTCGGGTGGTAGTGACAGTGACGACGACTACGACGACGACGGCGGCGGCGGCGGAGGCGGCAGCGGCGGTGACGACGACGACGAAGACGACGGCGGCGGCAGCGACAGTGGTGGTAGAAATAGCTGTGGCGACGGCGGTGGCGGCGGTGGCGGCAGCGGCGGTGGTGGCGGTCGAATGGCGGTCGCGGTGGCGATCATGATAGTGACGGTAGCGACGGTAGTAACGATAATATCGAAAGCAGCGACGATAGAAACAACGGCAGTGATAACGAAGATCGCGAAACAATGGATACGCTTATAATCAGAGGGATTTCGTCCGCTAAAATAAAACGATAGATGGAAAAATATGCAAGCGAAATCAACAAGAAGCAAAAAGAGAAGAACTGATTACGAATAAAAAAAGAGAAAAAGGAAGGATTCGCGAGCAAATAAAGTGGATAAATGTAAAATCGAAACGGATATAAAACAGTCTCGACAGTGGTAGGTTCGTTTACAGTGGCGGGTATATGGTCTTTTTTAAATACATCTGTATACACACTCGTTCTGCAAGTACAAATTATCATGTGCATGGAAGCGACGTTGCGATGGACAATAGACTGTGGATAATAGATAGTCGCATCTTTGTGTTGAACATAATATTACGGCAAGGGGAACAGACTTAGAGAAAGACATATGAACGGGTTAAGCGTGTACTCGTCTCGCGTGCCAAAGGAGAAGCGACTGGATGTAACAGTGCATCATCTGAAATGAATACATCGTATGGTTGCTTGCTAATGCTATTTATCCCCCGTGATCGTGAATGTGGACTATATAAATGACACAAGTGTTGGATTAAGCAGTGCGAAGTGAACGCGTGTAGGTTTTGTATATTGTAGGTGTAAATACGCCTATGTTACGACTCGTACGAAAAAGCGTGGTATGTCACGGGCTGTCTCGAAGATTTCATGCAACGAACGAGCTCGCTGTCTTATTGAATATTTTCACGCACGAAACGAATAATGGAGACGCTATTGCCTGGCAATACAAACAGTCAATCGTATAGTCCGCAATTAAAAACCGTCTTAAAGACATATCAGCTATCCGCTGTGAAAAGCTTACAGGGTCCGAGCTCGGCCCTGCTTGGTATGGACTGCAAGAGCCTATTACAAGATCAGGCACCTTGTTACTCCCCTTCGAGCCGATCGAGTAATTGTGTCATTGATTCAGCATCAGAACAGGTCTCTACGAAAGATATTGAAAAAGATAATAATCTGTCGGTCACACCTCTTGTGCCGTGTAAAGTTCGCAGGACGGATCAACCGCTTGAAGACTCCGATGAAGATCCTCAATTGGAGCGGTCGAAAAATGTTTGTGAGAAGAGGGAATTGGAATTTCAAATCCCAATTTTAACCGCTCCCGACCAAAGTTGTTCTGAGAGATGCGAAACAGTTTTAGAGGGTGAAAGGATATCCTGTTTTGTGGTAGGAGGTGAAAGGAGGTTATGTTTACCACAGATTTTAAATACAGTGCTGCAAGATTTCTCCCTTCAACAGATTAATCAAGTTTGCGATGAATTGCAAATTTATTGCTCACGATGTACGAGAGATCAGTTAGAAGAACTAAAACATTCAGGAATTCTGCCGCGCAATGCTCCTTCCTGTGGCCTTATTACACAAACAGATGCCGAAAGGCTTGTCAGTGCTTTGCTCTTAAGGACAGAATCGTGCGACCCATCTAAAGTTGGTCAAAACGAAGATAATACTGAAAAGAAAGTGTCTAATAAAATTGATAGCGACAAAGAAGCCATTGTCAAATTTAAAGTGTATCATGAGTGCTTTGGGAAATGTAAAGGCATTTTTGATGCAAGTTTATTTGAATCTGATGATTCAGTATGTATAGAATGCATTGAATGTGGCTGCCAATTTTCACCTCAATGTTTTGTTAGACATGCCCATAGATCTCTTGAAAATCGTACTTGTCATTGGGGCTTTGATTCTGCAAACTGGAGATCATATCTGTTACTTTCACGGGAACAAGAAAATTATAATAAATCACTCAACGTATTTCGAGAATTAAAAGAAAAACATCTAATACTGGGTTCCAAACGAAAATCAGAGGTATTATACTTCATGTATTATTTCTTTAGAGTATTTATATTTGATAAAATCTTTTAATTTTACAATTTAATTAATATTAATTCTATATTGAAACACAAATAGAGAAGGAAAATAAAGAATCCTTTTCCAGTTTCGTCATGATTCAGAAAAATGGACTAAACGAATTAGAAGAGATGTTGTAGCAAGGGATGAGTGTCCAGGAATATATAATGGAAGTGGCTTAGGCTTATATCATCCTGTATCTCAGGTAGCTAATGCAACTGATCCATATTTACAAATGCAATGGGCAGTTTTTGAATTAGCGGCTAGAGGAGCATCAGCTTTTAGACCTTGGAATACCACAAGTACTTGCAAGCACAAAGATAGGTAAGGATAGTATTGAACATAATAAAGAATTTAAAATAAGAAAATAATAAGTTTTACAATAAATACGATTCTCTCTGTGAACAGTTCATCGCTGGTGCCTGCATATTTAAGTCGAGGTCCACCTGTACTGCAACATCCAGAACATGTGGTTCCTCTTTCTGAATGTAAACGTTTTGAACCACATTTTCAACCAAATGTAGCCTTAGCACCTATACCTGCACCATCAGTGCCTGTAGTACTTCCACCTTCTGCTCATCATCAGCGTCGACATCATCACGAACATAAACGTTATAATCATCATTTATCAAGCCCTAATGAAAAAAAAGAGCCTCCATCGGACAGTGTGAAACTTGAAAAAACTTCTCTTAGTTCTGGATCTAGTGTTGGCACTTATTCTGTATTCCCATCATACACACCTGAAAGCAATCAGAAAGAATTGCCACAGAAAACTAAGAATGAAGTTGGTGAAGAGGAAGAGAGTAGTACTGCGGTAACATCTTCTACAGTAAACATAGAACCACCTTCAGCTGAGATTGGTACTTCTGCACTGGAAAGCGATTCTGATTCAGAAGGAACAACAGCAATAGATTTAGAAGATAGATTATTAGCTTTAGAAGTACCGCAAGATGTCCTGGAACTAGCACGACGTATAGTTTCAGAGAATGCACAGTTACGACGTCATCGACGTTCGGATGCACGCGAAATATCTCGATTGCGCAATCAATTGCAAATGCAACAGCAACTACAATCATCTAACAGTGGTGATAAAAAGGAGGAACCAGCAAATGCAAGTGCAGCAGACAGTACAGAAGATAGTGAAGAAACGGAAGCTGTAATACCTTCAAATAATAAAGAGTCTGAACCTGTTGTTCTAGCAGTTAGTAAAGAATAAAATCAATGATTAGTGTTTTTTAAATTATTTAATACAAAACTGCTCAGCAATTTTTTGCATCGCTTATCTTTTGGCCAGATAGGCGTGCATTAAATTTAGTATTAGCTCTACTAATAATGATAAAATTCTAAATGAATAAAAAACTGTTTAGGTTTATGTGATACATAGAAAGCCTTCAACATTGTAACATTTAATTTGAAATTTTTATTGTAATCATATTTTATTGTATCGATTTTTAATTAAAATCGACTGTAGATATTGTAATATATGGAAGAGCAACATAAGTTAACCAGAATTTACCATGCCATTTAATAGTTATACTTAAACGATCATTAAATAAGTTTTTCATGCATATTAAATATGCACACCACAAAGATTTTTATGATCATACATTTAATTGAACAATTAAATGGTGATCAGAAAATAAGAGATTAGATTGCTTTCCATTTACTTTTTATAGTCATGATCGCATAATGTAAATACATTCAAGTATCATAGGTGTATGTTTATATTAATAGCATTATCATGCAAAATATTGCTAAAGTACAAAAAACCTTTAGGTGCTATATTGTTATATTAGGAATGTTCTAAGCATAAATCTAGGTGTATTTCAGCAGTTCATACTATACCATAATATCAAACACCTTAATTATGTTTCGTTTTTATCTTTATAGTATCAAAAACAAATGAAATGTCATTTTCTGCTATGAACTCAATTTGGACGATTATTTGCAAATAAAATAAGTTAATTATTTAAACCTCTAAAAATATACAAGTGATATTACAGGGAATCGCGAAAATTTAATTTATGTATACAAAATTACTAATTTTTTGTATATTGAATAATTCTTATATTATTTTATAACAAATAGCTAATTTCAATTTCTTGCAATTAAATTTATTGCATTGTGAATAATTGGATTAAGAAAGGGATAAACGTTATTTTATTAAAAACGTAAAGAATCGCGATGTGCATAGTTTTTTGTTTTTCTTTATGTAATATTGTATAACATCCACAAGTAAGAACTATTTTATTAATGATTATTAATTTTTAGCAAAAATACTGTAGTATATAAAATTGCTATAACAAATGGTTACATAGAATTATTATTCTTTTTGGTATTAATATTTATTTGAGACATTGTACCTACATATCATTTTAGTTGTATTTAAAATTTGGAAAATATTTAACCTTGTGGGTCGTGAAATTTTAAATGTGATTTATTAAAAATAATTTTACGTGATCGGAAATTAAGTTTTATAATGTAATTTATACTTCTAGGGGATTATGGAGCAAAATTATAAGCACAATTTTATGGTTTATTGACTACTATTCTTCTTTCTGCTCATTATTATGGTGTGTACATGCAATAATAGGAAAAATACATTTTTTGAAATATTTATGATAAACCAACACTGATTTAGAGATATACCTAGATACGCACTAGATGTTTAAGAGTAAGACAACATGAATACAGAAATATAAAGATATATATAAATATTTATATTATACATATATAATATATATATTTGTATATATCTTAAACATACATTTTTTAACTTCCATTCTTTTTTTGTAATATCATGTACTCTTTTATTTTGTTAAATTTGTTGTCATTGTTTCACTTGTTTTATCTTGCAATATGTGAAATTACTATAATCTAAACATGAATTCCTTCTACTTGACTGCAATTTTTGATAAATTGTACTTCAGATATCATGATCTTGTTTTTGAAAATATAATTAAAAATTCCAAGTACATAAAGTATTTAAAAGATTCAAAGTATATTGAAAAGGTTGTTTTATAAGCTTCAAAAGCTTTTTGTATTGGATACATACTAGAAATATGATATAAATCCTACACATATTTACATACTATAGTGAAACCAGTTAGTTATACATTTGTGTATTTAAAACATACATACACATATATTTCGAGACTGCTTCGAAGATCTCTTATCATATACATTTTTCTAATGTAACAAGAGTGCCAGTAATTCTTGTATCACATCAAAGCACAAGGCATAAGAAGTTTCCATTTTCAATTTTATTACTCGCAACACTAGCTTTTTGAATAAAAGTGAATGATAAATTTTCAAAGCAATCTGTTAGAAAAGGAAATTGAAGGTGTATGATATAATGGATTATATAGGATAAATGCATTCACTATTATACTTCATATAACATTTGGTCAATACATATGACATATATACGTTACATCATAATGTTGTAATATTATAAGCATCCCACCTACGGTTAAGAATGTAATAATTTATGATTTTCATACACTCTCAGTTTATCATAGATATCTAGAATATGTCGTAAAATAGTAACATATATGAATTGCATAAAACTCGGTTTTTCAATATATTTGAGATCTGCATATGAAGTTTCAATGAATCATGTAACTGCCATGACTAAAGATGTATCTTAATTTTGAATGGGTGATGTATTAAGTTAAAATGGGAAATTACAAATAAATACATAATATGCGACGTCTGATTTTATTAACATATGTCACGATACGCGACGTCTTGATGTGGATTTCGTTCGTTCGAATAAATAACAATTTGCTAATTGGCTTTTACTTGATTAAAATGATTCATAAAAACAATATTACCGAGTGTTTCATAAATAAGAAGAAATCGTTATTGTTATAATATATTTATTTAACTTTGAGAAAAGAAAAAAAGAGTTGTGAGCAGTAGCTAATGTAACTATTGCATTCGTTATTATGAATGTACATTTCATATTTGAAGCGCATTCGATATGCGTATAATTAACATATTAATATTTAAGAACTCGTTCGATTTTCATTTCGAGTAGTAGGCTATAATAGGTTTCTTTGTTCGTGTTGCAAGTAGAAGTATGAAATACTAATCGAACGAGTTTCGAGGTCTTGTTTTCTCTATCGCGTTCATAGATCGAAATTCAAGAAAATAAACTATTGAATGAAAAATAAGTAGTTTATTACTCAATAAAGGATCGTTCGATGCAAATGGTTTCATATAATTGGGTGATTTCAATGCTGTTGCTTCGTGTATGAATTTATGTATGAATAATTAGGGTATCTATTGGTCTCGTTATAGTTGTTAAGTAGTAGGAATTCTTTCGAATACGAGTTCGAGATTTTTGTTTCAGTTATCGTAAATTTAATTCAGCGAAGAGATGAATAATAAACAATTTATCGGGGATGTGGTACCGTATATTTTGATTAGTCAAATGTGTCTAGAGAGTCGGTTTAATATCCTCTCAAGTACACTGTCAATAGTTTATTTTCTTAATCATAAACACATTTATCCTACAATTAAAGGCATAATAGATTTAGAATACAAGTGTTTCATAATAAACATAGAAATATTTTTAAGGAATAAAGCGTGTCATTAAATATATAAAACAAGTGCAATATGAAAGTACAAAATTTAACCTTTCATTTGAACTTTGTATGTTTTACAAAAAAAAAACAAGAAAGAAAAGGATATATGGGACAACTTCTCCGGTATTCTAAATTCTAGTTATAAGAATTTCGAAAATATTTTACCACTAGAGTTTCAAAAACCTGTAAGACCATGTCCCTAATAACGTACTTATATAGCGTTGAACTTTTGAATATTCTCTAACAATAAACAAAGGAGCGGTTTAGAACAATTTAATAATAAACCATTTTCTAATCGCTTGAACGTTATCCTGAATTTTGTAAAGATCGAATATTTATATTCGAACGACGAATTCCATATTATTTATGGATCGATATATATAACAATGGATATTAAGTAGTTCCAGTAGCGATCTGATTGATCTTTGGTATAATTGTAGAGTAAATGTACATATAATTATTTTCCAAAAAAATACTCATTGTTAAATGTATATGACGGAAACTGTTATAGATAAGGCTATTATCGTCATTTATATTAATTGAGATAATAAACGACATTTCGATTAAATAAGATTTTACCATATTATTGTATCAATTTTAGACATTAGTGTATATTTAAAAAAAAAATGTTGTTTATATATTGTACATATGTGACATACTTTTTATTTTTCTTTCTCGCAAATGTCTTACTTTCGCTGAATAAAAGCGCGACACAGTTTCATACATTTCACTTATACATAAATTATAAAATTTGACTATACAGTGTTACATTTATTGAATATTATTTAAAATTATATTATCAACTTTTACTATACCAATCCATTTTGGGATTAAAGAATTCTGTATTAAATATTGTTTAATTTCGATATTTTTATGTTTTTGAAAGTTGTTACTTTGCAGTGTTATCAATTAAAATCAGAATATTCCATTTTAAAGAAGAATACTATCAAATAATTAACGATGATCGCATATTGAGGATGATATGCCGCCACACACGTGCAATCACATAAGCTACTACCTGCAATACGTTCGTGTATCGTTGCGCCGTCTACCTGTTGCATTCACCACTATAAGTACCTGAATTTCAGTTTCATCCAAAATCCTTTAGGAGAACGAAAGACTAATTAGGTTTCTGGTTCGAGACTTTACCGTTATACTCTTAGTATATTTATTCGTATTTCTCAGTGTAAAATACCTTAAATATTTTTACTTGGGCTTTATTGCTTTTCCGCAGAAGACTTGTATAACAGTTACTGACAAGTTTAATATGTGTACCTCTCTTATATTGTGTCTGATCCCAGTGATTTTTTGACATTTAACGATTCATGTTTTGGAAGTGTAATTTTGAGGTAACTTTGAGAGAACAGAATGGCTTTTTTATGCCCAGTTCGTATACGACGAGGAAAGAAAAAGAAACGTGAGTAAAATAATCATCGCATTACGTTTTTAAAAACTTTGTTTCATAAGAACTTGAAGAGTTGCATATTCTTCCTTTTTTTCGTAACAGTACATGTACTCAGTGATTTATGTTTTTACTGGCATTAAAACAAATGAGACCAAAATTTGAAAGTATAAATAAAATACATAAATTATTCGCAGAATAATACATTCAAAGCAGATCGTCCGAACAACTTTCGTGTTTTGGAAGAAGAAAGAAATGTTAAATAAAAGATTCTTTCGCTTCCAGGTGAAAGTTATGAAACCACATTAAGATTATAGTCATGTTTTTAGAAAAATTTCGTTCTTTTATACCTATTAGATATAACACTTCTTCCTGCTTCTAGGTATTTCATACATCTTTTAAATTCTACATCCCCAAGAAAAACATTCATATGGTTTTCTTCACTTCAAAACTTCATATAAAGAGAAATAAAAATAATGCAACCATGTAATTTAAATAATTTTTTATGATACAGCTGGAGTACATAATTTTAATTTGGAAAAAGATTGTGTTGGAGGAGGAGGTACAGGTTTGGGTTTAGGAACCAAAGTACCATTGCCACCTGGCCGAATAACAGGAAGTGCTAGTATTGAAACTTTAGTTAGAGTAGGTATTGAAAAAGAAAATGGACTTTCACCAGATAGTAAAATGGTCATAGTCCATGATTTTACGCCTTGTGTTGACGATGAACTTCAAGTAAAACGTGGCCAGGTCAGCAGTTTCTTATTTTGTATTGCACTAGGAAAATGTAAATAATTCCTTGTATTTTTGTTTTTATTGTACCATCTTGTATGTGCTTTATATTTCATAAAAGTATATCTAACTTTATTTTGTTTAATATTCAGTGTAAAATGCACTTTTTGATGGTGTTGTTTTCTGCATGTTCTAGGTTGTAAATGTTTTGTATAGAGAGAATGATTGGGTATATGTAATAGCAGCTGACACTAGAATGGAAGGCTTTGTGCCACATTCATATTGTGCACCTTACACATCTCAGCTTGCTGAATTAACACTTGCTACTCTTATGAACAATGTGAAAAAGAAACTACCAAGATCTAATGAAACTGATTGTGATTTTACTGGTACAGGTCGTTCACAAACAGTAGATACACAACAAACTGACACAGGATCTGCATCAGACTGTGAAAGTTATGCTCGTAATGTTACTACTGCCGATGCAAATGTTAATAGATCTAATATCACACAATCTCAAAATTCTATTCAAACTATATCTTCTCAGCCAGATGTACATCCTTTCTTTAAGGTAAATATCCAAATATTTTAATGTAAATGCATTAAACAAATAAAAATTTGATATACAAATTGTAGGATCCATCAGCTGGAAGATACATTGTTCTTTATACTTTTGTGGCTAGAGATGAAAATGATGTTAGCGTTGAAAGGGGAGAATTTGTGACTGTACTTAATCGAGACGATCCTGACTGGTTTTGGGTACTTAGGCATTGTGATGGCAATGAAGGATTTGTACCATCTGGATTTGTGTACCCAGGACATGTTCTTCATTCTTATGCAACAACAACTACCACAACTACCACTACTACTACTGCAGCTACAGCATCTGCAGAGACGCATAGTTTAGGTAAATTTGATTTTTTAAAAATCAAACGAAGAACCAATTGAAAATGTGAAGTTGAAAAATTAATTTAAACAATATTTGATGTATAGGAAAAGGTAATAGTACTATATCAGGAAATGAATCATTGCAACAAAAAGGTTTACGAGATTTTCGAGATGAAACTAATGGAACAGAATTAGTTGTACTTTATGATTATAAGGCGCAGGCGCCAGATGATTTATCAGTGAGAAGAGCTGATTGGATTTATGCAGATTTGGGAAATCAAACTGTAGATGGTTGGTTGTGGGCATATGCACCCAAGACTCGCAAATATGGTTTTATTCCAAAAGCATATGCCCGTCCTCCTGCTATGACAAGCTTATGATACAAACTATAATCTTATGTATCTTGCATTTTATGCATATATTCAACTAATAAAGTACTTTTACATAATACTGCATTTTAAACAATACTCAGCCATGTGGATACATAAGAATTATGTCTTTGTAAGTATTTTTGTTAACACTATTAGCGAATGTTTTAATAATTTTATTATTTATATTTTTTCATAATATAGTTAATGTACAGTAACATTAACATTGAGCATAGCACAATCGGATGTAACGTGATTAAGGAGACCTTCATGCAGAACTATACAATCACCTGTTAAAAAAATATCTCGAGGACATTGGGCTGTTCTTAATGAATTTATTGGACCTGTATAGGTCAAGGAACGTAAGCCTTCGGTATCAAGCTTATCCACAGCCTATTGTGGAAATAGCATATTTTTATTATATTCATAACAAATATTATGTATATAGATATAACCATATGTCTAACTGAATATTTTTATTGAATATACCTGAATACTACACAGAAGTTTCTCTGTAGTGTTTCCAATATCTAATCCAGCGACCCAGGCAATAATTATGTTTTTGTTGCAGTAATTAATTTTATTACATTGATCTGTGCAATTCAATCGAGCAGCTAATACTGATAATGGTAATCGGTTCCGAAATTTTTGATTAATTTGACTACCGTTGAACAGTCTTGCGACAGGATCTCTTATTATGAAGATATGTTTAAGGAATAGATACGAAGTTAAATTGTACCTTGTTTTAGTAAAAGTATATCCTATACTCACGAGAGTTTACCAGAAACTAAAAGAAGGGCAAGACATCGGCTAGAGTGTAAAGATAAAGCATTGAAACTGACGATAAGCGTGCTTTTAATGCCTGGTTCCACATTCAAAATGGGTACTTCCGGGTGATCAAAAATAAAATGATGCGTTAATGCTGAAAAAGCAACATTTATCGCACAATCAATTCGTGGACATCGGATAGGTCTGCGAGAACATTCTGCTGTAATTTGCCCATTAATTTTAGTTTCAGATGCATGCATATCCAGATTTCCTCTTTTATATAGATTACAGTGACTGTGTTGTTTTTGTTTACTATCACCTTTATCTATATTGCTTTGATCTTCAACATGATCGCAATCAGTGCTTTCTTCAGAATCATTGGCAGTATAGCATCCCCATGTATTCTTTTCTATGTTCGTTACTGGTGTTGAATAATTTTGATTCCTAGACTTAACATGCAACTGCTGAGGTTGATGATGCCTAATAAAAGACTCTGGTTGTTGAAGCAATACTTGCATTTTTCTTGGACGAATATATATGGAATTTAAACTGGTATTGCTCTCTTGAGACAAACTTAAATTTAAGAATTGAAATTGGGCTTGGCAAAGAATGCAACATAGATCTGTAAAATGTAATTGTAATCTAGAAACTGCTATGTTTTGTTTGTATAAGTCTGTTTAGATTAATTTAGTCAATTTAAATTTCTTACATATGTATATGCATTAGAAATAGTATTAATTCAATAAAAAACATCATATTAATAATAATTACAATAGGTTATGCTAAAGTCTACTTTAAACCACCTGATGGAATAATAAATTGTTGAATACAATGATTGCACAAAATATGCTCTTCAGAACAAGGTTGATGAAAAGTAGAATTCATATTTTCTGCAGTAAGATGACAAATAGCACAAACTCCCAACATTCTATTTAGTTGCTGTGAACCTTTTCCTTCATCACCTTTTTTCTCATTTCGTTTTTTTTCATCGTCAGTTATTCTAATTCTACATTCTCTTTCCTCTTGCAGCCTCCTTTCATCATTTAATTGTTTTAATTCTGCATGCTAAAAAAATTCTAACGATTTATTTTTGTGTTCAAATTATTTTTTATAATTTTTTCTCTAATATTATTTATGTAATTAGTTGAATTACAAAATATATTATTATTCAACATTAAATCACGTGTCTTTGGAATACTCAATCACGTGCCTCGTTCTGATTCTGTATCGGGTTGCAGTATACTTTATTAACTCGATAACTTTCGTTCTCCATTTCTTTGTCTCGATTCTCGGGTCAACTCTTATGTCTTTTTAAATGATAACCTTCAACGATCGTTTATCTTCTTTCGTTAGTATGATATTATTGCTGCAAAATGTAGACATTGTAGTCTACCTATTGTTACCATAACTTGGACAGTTCTGGTAGAAATTATGACTGTATATTTAAATACATAATACATTATACAGATTTTTTATCACTTTCATTAAAAAAACTAAATGGTTATTTGAGAATTATATAAGAATAAATAATATGTAAGAAAAAAACGTAATTTTCTTTAAAAAGATTTAATATGAAGTCGTAATGGCATGTTACTAACAAAGAGAAACAGATTGATTAATAAACGAGTAATTATTAAAATTATTAGTATTACCAAATATAATATCAATGTCAAACACTCACAAGTTATTTTTATCAACGTTCTTGAACATTCCGTATTCCAGTAGCTTTATGAATAATTTTCAGTGTAATATTTGAAGCAAAATTTTTTAATGGGTACTATAAATGTGTATATAAATAAATTGATTTGATAATTTTATTAACAAAAATTGTTATATTTTCAGTTTGCTATAATTTATTTAACAATGTTTTTTGTTCATCACAAGATAAACTTCGATACGTCCGATTTGTCAATTACAATTGAGGAACCATTTTGACATCTGCATTTTTGTCATTTTTTGATACCTTCAAATATTTGAGAACGTATCAAAAACTATAGATTTAGAATTCCCATATAATAATATTACCATTTTTTTTTATATTCTTTGCAACTCTTCATATAGTTCTTCGAATGTAAATTTTAGGTTCGTGTTAATGTTCTCGTAAACTGGCGAAAAGAATAATTTAACAACTTTAAAAAACCTTTATCGTAAAAATGAATAGTACTTACTAATCAGTACATACTTTCATATTAATTTACACAGAAAGTTACACTATTTGAGAATTGCGATATTAATCAAATTCTGTGTGCATATATAGCACAATGCATTATGGTAGGAACAATTTTTTTTTGAAAATCTCTTTGAAGACATGAAATCAACTTTCCAAATTTTCGATTTCTGCATGTTTTGAACATAAAACTGTAATAGTATAACATAACTTTAAATATGAGTAAAAGAATAAGAAATTGTTCTTTTTTATATTTCTGTCGACTGTCTCAGACAGTTTTTATAAACTGTCTAGTTTAAATAGTTAACTTTTTTCCATAACACTATTTCTATTTCTCATTATTATTTATCAGTAGAATAAAAAATTTATTTGTTTAAAAAAAATGTCGAGCCATGGATAAATTTTTTATAGTAAAAAGAAAGAATTGATTTCATTTTTTCAAAATTATTTTCGACCAAGAAAAGTCTTCTTTATAAATTTCATTGTGCTTTATAAAGTATAAGAAAAGATTTCAAAAAGTTTATAAAACGCTGCAGCAGAAAGATTAATTTTTTGTATTCTCACTTAAACTATAATACAGTAGCATTAAATGGAAAATAGTTCATAATACAAATTACTTGTTAATAACAACATTTTGGTAATACAATATCGATGTAAAAAGCTCTAACAATGTAATAGGCCTCGCCAAAGCATAATATTTTATGTGCACGTATAAGTAATGACAGGCGATTGGCAAGATCTAAAGTCAACATAATATTTAAAAAAAATTATATTAATGCTTTACTTCGACATTATAAGAAACGTTGCAAAAACATTTGATGTTTATACAAAATTTGGCATTCTTCATCTTTTCAGAAAAATTATTTTACATAACTTTTTGTGGTATGTACTCTATACATAAAAGTATGCAAAATTATAAATACAATTCAACCTAATAAGAAACAAACTGTAAGTTTACAACACTTTTATAACATGATTTTTAAATAATTGTATTTTTTGATTAGTTTACTTTATGATATTGCTGTAAAATTTATATCTATTTGGCAGGAAACGTTTGCGAAATTAATACTACTTAGTCCTTACATCACTGAAAAAAGAATGGCATGAACCACGTTTATGAAATTAAGATAATATACATCCATGGTAACATATAAATTAAAAAAAAATGATGTATTAAGTTCATCGTATAAATTATCACATTTCTTTCGTATTTGATTGTAATTTTTTAATTCTTATTGAGAAATTTCGGAACATAAATTATCTTTCAAGTTTGTAAATCGTTCTGTACTTAGAGTTTTTATGTTATGTAAATGTAAATCATCTAATAATGTAAAAGTTTGTTTGTCGTTTAAATTAATCATACTATAACTTTTACATTTATTATCCGTGAAAGAATGTTTCTTGTCAAGCAATACTAATAATGGTAATTCCTTAACATTTAGTGCTTTCTTTGCCATTTTTTCAAGAGTAGAATGATCATTAGAATTATTTGTTATCTGTTTTACTTTTATTGAAGATGAACTGGCACTATGAGATAAACATTGCAAAGAATTAGACCTAAACAATTTCTTTGTAGATATTACTTCTTCCTCTAATTGTGAGTTTATTTTTTTGTGAGTATTCAATTGTACACTACTTTTCGTAGTATGCAGGTCATGCGTATAAGTCTCTGTACCTTTTAAATTTGAGGTTTGTTTATCTAATTCAAGATTATCAGTCTTATTATCTAAACTATGATCCATGCTCTGATATTTTCCTATGGAACTGCTATTAAGATTTAAAGGTAAATTAATATCGCTATTGCTTTGAAGTTTGTTATTAAAGCCAAATTTGAAAGTTTTATTTGGCACATACTTTATTGTACTTTCTACTTCTTCAACGGACGTTGACCCTAACCTAATTAGGTTCATTTTTAAAGGACTGTTACTTAACGACTTCGATATACTATTTTTAAAATTAAATTTACGTTTGTTTAATACCGCAAAGTTAGTAGTTTGACCTTTAGTTGTATTTGATCCTTCACTAGATGACGGTAAAGACATATTTGCCAGTGGATTTTTTAAAGCCTGGAGATTCTTTAACAATTTTTGAAACTGATTTAAGCTATGTATAGACAGTTCTCTAGTCTGTGAAAAATTACAATTTAATTCTGACGTAAAATTATTTGATTTTGTACTATCCTGATTATAAAATTGCAATTTCTTACTGTCAGTATCATGAGAACTTTCAAGAGATAAATTGCTCAGATTTGTTATATTAGTTTGTAATTCTAATTCCCACTGAGAAGATATTGCTTCACTTCCATCAACTGATCTCTTCTCAAGTTTTTCATTATCTTCTTGCAACTGATGAACATTCTGTAACACAGTAAATGTTATTCACTTCCTTGAAAAGCAGATTAAAATTGAAACCGAAATTATTGATTATTTTACTCACGTATTCTTGAATACTATCACATTTATTATGTTGATGATTTGTAATATCTTTCATTCTATTGTCATTTATTTGATTAAATTCTATATCGTAGTTTAACGTCTTTTGTGGACTAACTAATTCTGCACCAACGCCTGGTTCTCTAGGTCCAATAGCTATAAAATCTAAAAGTAATAAAAACAAAAAATTAAATAATCCATCTGTCAGTTACTATTGATTCAATTACCATTAATAACAATACCATTATCTCGTCGTTGTTGATGTATTTGATTACTAATTTCTTCTAATCTATGAAGACTGGTAGCATAATTAGTTTTTGCAACTTGTATTGCTTTCTGCAAACATTCAACTCTTTCTTTTTGTGTTGCCAACATTTGATCACATTGCGCTTTAACCTCAAAGTATGGTCGTGCTTTAATTATAGAACGACGATGTTTTTCCTCTAATTCTAATAATCTTTTCTCAGCATCGTGAAATAGTATTGCTCGTCTATAATGCTCCCTGCCACACTCTGCTTTCTGATTCTCTGCATCCATTACCTGAATAAGAATGTATTAAATGAAAATAAAACACAAAATAAAGATTCTTTATTTTATATTTAACTTACTTTAATAGTTGCATGATTTAACATATCCTGCCATGCCTGATCAAAATTCCATTCATGCTGATGCGACATAAATCTGCTTTCAGCTAAAGCTACAGTTTCCTTTGCTGCTGCATGAATTTCACTTGCTCTTTGAAATAATTGAGCTTGTTGTTGACATTGTACCTTTAGAAATCATTTTATACAATTAGTTTCTGCATTCTCAAATATTCTTTAAATATTCTCTCACCTGAGCTTGACGAGCAACTTCAAGTGCATCATAATAACATCTTGCTTTTTCAACACAGCTATTTCCTACTTTATTTATAATTTCTTTTAATCTCTTCGTGGTCTCAGATAATAATTGTCTAAATGCAGTATGTGCTTCCTAAATAAAACAAATTATTTTACATTAATTTTAGAAATGAAAAAAAAATGACACAAACAACTTTTTCTAATAACGTAACTTACATCTAATTCAGTTTCAAGTTTATTTATGTCATCTGTTGCATCGTTTAAATTCTCCAACTCAATCTAAAATGTATTCATATATTATTTACAAACTGAGTAAATTGTAATAAATAACTCTCTGAAAAATTTTATTTAACAAGGATATTAATTTAATCTCTATGATTTTTTTTTAATTTTAGATTATTCAGTTATTAATGGATTTTCTTCATAAAACAGAAATTTTCGATGAATAAGAAGTGAAAGCAAAGTGGAACATGGTACCAGGCTGTGTTAGGCTTCACCATCATAATTAGTAAATATATTTTTTTACATGTGTAATTAATCATAACTACGCTATTATGAAAAGCAGACTTGTAAATATAATAAACGTATGAAGAGAAGAAGTGTCATTAAAGATAATTACCTGTATGCGAGGATCTAAAGATCCATCGGCGTTGTCCGTAACATCCATGCTTTAATATTTGACATCTAATTGAACTTGACGTATAATCGTGAACGTCAATTCATTGTGAGTTTGCATATGTATATGATCGTTCCAAATCATGAGAAATGTATAATTCTCACCGCATAAAATTATTTACTATCGTTTACATTTCGAAAACGTATGATGACAAACAATTAGACTTAACATTGGCGTCGACACTTACGTACTACGAAGTACTGCGAAGCTAAACTATTGTTGGCAGGAATACTACAGCGTACAACGTAGTATGTGTATAGCAACGTACCCCCACCATAGAAAATAAGGAGAATTCATATTTATATATCATATATTTATAACAATAAAATGACAATAATATATTAACCTAAAACAATATTCCTTTGTAAACATTTAGTTACTTTTATTTTTCTCGTTATGGGTGTACAACAGTTGATAAAAAGTATAATGCATCCTTTGATCTTGAAAAATGTTGCTTTTGAGAGATTATTTATGTTATAATGACTACTTTGATTGTATTTTCTTTAAAAAGTACGTTCAGCAATTTTCCGTGATTTTTACTAAAACCGTATTTCTAACAATTTCTACTAGAAAGGTTAGAAATTGTTCTAGGCTAATAAATTCTAATCTTTCCAGTAGAAATTGTTAGAGACTTTATCCTAGTAACAATAGAAAGGATAATCACAGTATAAGCATGCCATAGAAATCATACAAATTGAAAACAAAGGCAAATCGTGATTAATAATTTATTTTGGTCTCTCTAACTGTATATATGTGGCAACTCTCTGAAAGCTTATTTATTACAATTCAAATGTTATTAATTACTTGTACTTCAGAGATTTATTA